CCTTCTCCTCCATTCTTTTCTCGGGATCTTGGGCACGCACGCACACACACCCGGCGTGAGTTTAAGCCACTGGGTCTGGGATTCAAACCACGGTTGATTACATGAGAGTCCAGCAACATAGCCATTATGCCAACTGCTGGTCCCTTATTTAACTTTATTTATTTTAATTTGACCAGAGAGGGACAGAGTGAGAGAGAGAGAGGAAAAGTGAGAAGGCACGCCTCCAGGTCCAGGACTCAAACTGTGGTCAGCCATGCAGGAGTCCAGCGCACTTAACCACCATGCCACCTGGGCATCCCTTATTAAGAAAACAAGATGTGGAGCTAGCAGGTGGCAGGGTGGTTAATGCGCTGGACTCCCACGTGGCCAACTGTGGTTTGAGTCCTGGGCCCCTGATGGCTTGAAAATCACTCCAGGCACGTGTGCACGAGTGCCCAAAATCCCGCGGCCATCCCCCCAACCCCTCGGGGATGATTTCTCACCTTCCCTCCCTGTGTCTCTCTCTCCGGTGAGCATACACGCCCATGCAAAACAAATAAACAAACCAACAAACGAAAAAGAACAAGACAGCTGCTTCAGGACCAGCAGGTGGCGTAGTGGTTAAGGAGCTGGACACTCCCACATGGTCGACCACGGTTCGAGTCCTGGACCTGGTGGCTTTCGCTTTCCCTTTCTCTTTGTCTTTCTCCCTGTGTGTGTGTGTGTGTGTGTGTGTATGTGTGTGTGTGTGTGTGTGTCTGGCCAAATCAAAATAAAATGAATGGGGACCAGCAGTTAGCATAATGGCTATGTCACTGGACTCCCATGTAGTCAACCGCGGTTTGTGTCCCAGACCCGGTGGCTTAGAACTCACGCCGGGCGTGTGTGCATGCGTGCCCAAGATCCCGAGAGGAGAAGGGATTGTGGCGTGGCCATCCCCCCTGGGTGGTGATTTCTCGCTTTCTGTCTCTGTCTGGCGAGCACACACGCCCCATAGCAAAAACCTTTCAAATAAATAAATAAATAAATAAAAATTTTAAAAATAAAATGAATGAATAAATAAAATTAAATAATTGTTTTTTAAAAAAAGATAGCTGCCTTCGGCTATTTGGGGGATATCTGTACTAAAGAATTTAGGGAACCTGAACAGAAAAGACAAGTGAAACGGATGCAGCAGACAGAGAGCGGGACAGAGCCCTATCCTTGGTGGCCCCTCGTGCAGTGCTCACGGACTTCAGATGGCACCTCAGAGCCCGGCCGTCCTCCAGTAGGGCTTCCTGCCCAGAATGAACCTGGGCTGGAGACGGGATGGAGGGGAAGGCTGGGAGGGCAGGGCACAGGTGTGGGAGGCATCCCGTCTAGAAGCAGAGCGTGCGTTTTGTGCATCTGAAGCCCCAGCACGGGGCTGTGGGGAGGCAGTGGCGAGCCTCGGTTTCTCCACCTAGTCCTAGGAGGTGCGTGGCCCAGTCTTTCTGTGTGTGCGTGTGAGTGTGCATCGCCTATGGAAGCTGGGGGACCCCTGGGAGCAACGCCGTGTGGTCTGGACGCCGAGCTGTTCTCATGGGACAGCCGGTGCTCCCCTGAGCTGACCGTTGTCCCTCCGGGGTCCCCAGCACTAAATGTTCCTCGTTTCTCTTGCAGCCCGAAGGAGCCCCCCGGGCTTACACCTACAGCGCTTTCTTCTGTCCCAACGGTGAGTCCTCGGTGGCCACCCTGTAAAGTGGCCGGATCAGAACTTTGCCCCTAGCCCCACCCCCTGCACATTAAAAATAGTTTTTTTCCTTGAGACCAGCAGTTGGCATAATGGCTATGTCGCTGGACTCCCACATAGTCAACTGCAGTTCGCATCCTGGACCCGGTGGCTTAAACTCACGCCGGGTGTGTGTGTGTGCGTGCCCAAGATCCCGAGAGGAGAATGGAGGAGAAGGGATTGTGGCGTGGCCATCCCCCCTGGGGGGTGATTTCTCGCTTTCTGTCTCTCTGTCTCTGTCTGTCTGGCGAGCGCACGCGTGCTATAGCAAAAACCTGTCCAAAAAAAATAATTAATTAATTAATTAAGCAGGGGCTAGCAGGTGGTATGGTAGTTAAAGGTGCTGGATTCCCACATGGTTAACCATGGTCTGAGTCCCAGACCCGGCAGCTTCTCACCTTCCCTCACTCTCTCTCTCTCTCTCGCTCTGTCCCTCTCTGGTCAAATTAAAATAAATAAATAAAGCTGAATAAAATCATTATTAAAAAAAAATTAAGGGACCAGTAGATGGCATAATGGTTATGTCACTGGACTCCCACATAGTCAACTGTGGTTCACGTTCTGGACCCAGTGGCTTAAAACTCACACCAGGCCTGTGTGCATACCCAACCTCCCAAGAGGAGAATGGAGAAGTGATTGTGGCATGGCCATCCCCCCCAGGAGGTGATTTCTTGCTTTCTGTCTCTGTCTCTCTCTATCTCTCTGGTGAGCACACATGCCCCATAGCAAAAATCTCTCAAAAAGATATATATATAAAAACATCTTCACACCATTGCCTTCCAATCCATGAACATGGTCTAGCTCTTCACTGAGGCTGGTCTTCTCTAGTTTCTCTCAGGACCTTTTGCAGTTTCAGCATCTTACACATCTTTTGCTAGATTTATCTCTGAACATTTCATCCCTTTTTGTTTTGTTTTGTTTTTTGTTTTTGTTTTTGAGAGGTTTTTGCTATAGGGTGCATGTGCTCACCAGAAAGACAGAGAGAGACAGAGAGACAGAAAGTGAGAAATCACCCCCCCAGGGGGGATGACCATGCCGCAATCCCTTCTCCTCCATTCTCTTCTCGGGATTTTGGGCACACACGCACACGCGCCCGGCGTGAGTTTAAGCCACCGGGTCCGGGATGCGAACTGCAGTCGACTGCGTGAGAGTTCAGCAACATAGCCATTACTCCAGCTGCTGGTCCTGCAGAGCATTTCATCTTCTGTGTGCTATTTATTGCCTGGGTTCTTGTATATTTGTTTTTAAGAGATTTTTGCATTAGAGTGTGTGTGCTCACCAGAGAGACAGAGACAGTGAGAGAGAAAGGGAGAAATCACCCCCGACAGAGGGGGAATGGTCATGCTACAATCTCTTCTCCATTTTCCTCTTGAGATCTTGGGCATGCATGCACATGCGCTTGGTGTGATGTTTAAGCCGCCGAGTCCGGGACTCGAACCGCGGTCGGCCAGGTGAGAGTTCAGCGAAATAGCTGCTTACACCATCTGCTGGCCCCACCTGGGTTCTTGTTAAACCTGCACCGTTACAACGTACCTGCAGCAGCTGCATGCTGAGCTACAGGAAGACCCACCCCATGTGATCTTAATGCCCATGCCCAGGCCTGGGCACACGAGGTGAGATGCCTCCAGACAAGCTTGCCATGCCCCGTCTCCTGTCGTCCATCCAGAGAGGGTTCACATCTCCACGCCCAACAAGTATGAGTTCCAGTACGTGCAGCGGCCCCCACGCCTCACCCGCTTCGACGTGGCCGTGCGAGCCCACAACGACGCCCGGGTGGCTTTGTCCTCTGGGCCCCAGGACACCGCGGGCATGATCGAGATCGTCCTGGGCGGCCATCACAACACCCGGTCGTGGATCTCCACCAGCAAGATGAGTGAGCCCGTGGCCAGCGCCTACACGGCCAAGATCCTCTCCTGGGACGAGTTCAGAACATTCTGGATCGGCTGGCACGGGGGGCTCATTCAGGTACAGCAGAACTGGGCTCGCGGGCGGGAGCATAGACCCATCATGCCGCTTTGGTCTTGGCCGCTTCCTGTCCTGTGTCAGGCTCTGATGGAGGGGTCAGGGAGGACTGAGGGAAACCCGGAGGGCCGCGAGTTGCTCACAGTCTGGAATGGCTTACCAGACGAAAAAGGGAAGAGGATGCCGGCCAGTGGTGTGGAGGTGAAGGCAGCTGGATGCCACATGGCCGATGGTGCAGTTCAAGTCCTGGACCCAGTGACTTGAAAAACATGCTGGGTGGGACCAGCACATGGCGTAATGGCTATGTCGCTGGACTCTCATGTAGCTGACCGCGGTTCGCGTCCCGGACCCGGTGGCTTAAACTCACGCAGGGCGCGTGTGTGTGCGTGCCCAAGATCCCGAGAGGAGAATGGAGGAGAAGGGATTGTGGTGTGGCCATCCCCTCTGGGGGGGGGATTTCTCGCTTTCTGTCTCTGTCTCTCTGGCAAGCGCACACGCCCTATAGCAAAAACATTTCAATAAATAAATAAATAATCGGGGCCAGCAGGCGGTGCGGTAGATAAGGGCACTGGATTCCACATGGTCAACCATGGTTCAAGTCCCGGACCTGGTAGCTTGCTTTCTCACTTTCCCTTTCTCTCTCTCTCTGGTCAATTAAAAAATAACAAGAACAAATGGAATCAAATAAATAATTCTTTATAAATAAATAAATAACAAGTAGAATTAAATACCTATCTAAATAAAAAGAATCATGTTATCTAACTTTATTTATTTATTTTAATTTGACCTGTGAGGGAGAGAGGGAAAGTGAGAAAGCAAGCTGCCCGGTCCAGGACTCGAACTGCAGTTGGTCATGTGGGAATCCCACGCCTTAACCACCACACCACCTGCCGGCCACCTTACAGTGAGCTTTAAAGTACAAAGAGGAGCCGAGAATATTCCAGGTACAGGGAACAGCACGCACCGAGCCCCGCGTTTCCAAGGAGCCTGTTGCCTTCGGAACCTACAGGCATCCTGTGGGTGTGTCCTTGCTGGTCATTTGACGGACAGGTGGCCTCTAGCTTCTCTCCTGTCTGACTCCCACTGAGACCAGCAGTTAGCGTAATGGCTATGTCATTGGACTCCCACGTAGTCAACCGCAGTTCGAGTACCGGACCCAGCGGTTTAAAACTTAAGCCAGGCGCGTGTGCGTGCATGCCCAAGATCCCGAGAGGAGAATGGAAGAGAACGGATTGCAGCGTGGCCATCCCCCCGGGGGGTGATTTCTCGCTTTCTGTCTGACTCCCACTGTGAGTGTGGCCGAGGGCACTGACCGTGGCCCCGTGGCCAGCGTCACTGCTGCCTCCGTGTATACTTCATGCCCTCCTGCCGGCGTCCAAACCTGGGTCTCTGTTCAGGTCGGCCACGGTCCAGAGCCATCTAACGAGTCTGTCATTGTGGCCTGGGCCCTCCCGAGGCCACCAGACGTGCAGTTCATCGGCTTCTCCACTGGGTGGGGCTCCACGGGCGAATTCCGCATCTGGAGGAAGATGGAGGTGGACGAGAGCTACAGCGAGGCCTTCACGCTGGGGGTCCCGCAAGGCGCCATCCCCGGGTCGGAGCGAGCTGCTGCGTCCATCATAGGTGGGTCTGGTCTGTCGTCTGGGTTGGGGAGGACAGAGGCCACAAGACAAGGTCCACTCTGGGCTCAGGTCAAGGTGTGGTCTTGGCGGGGTCTCCACCTACACACCTACTCACCTGTCCAGCAGCTTCTAGAACCTTCTCTGGGGGACTGCAGTTGGCATAATGGCTATGTCATCCCACCAGGGAATGATTTCTTGTTTTCCCCCCTCTCTCTTTCTCTCCCTCTCTCTGACGAGTGCAAAAGACTGAAAAAATAAAAATAGAAGTAACAAACAAAAACTGGGGCTGGCAGGTGGCATGGTGGTTAAAGGCGTTGGACTCTCACATGGCCAACCATGGTTCAAGTCCCGGACCTGGTTTGCTTTCTCACTTGCTCTCTCTCACTCTGTCCCTCTCTGGTCAAATTAAAATAAATAAACAAATAAATAAAGTGAAATAAAAAATAATTATGATTATTTTTTAGAGAGGTTTTTGCTATAGGGCGTGTGTGCTTGCCAGAAAGACAGAGAGAGACAGAGAGACAGAAAGCGAGAGATCACCCCCCCAGGGGGGATGGCCATGCTGCAATCCCTTCTCCTCTATTCTCCTCTCGGGATCTTGGGCACGCACACGCGCCCGGCGTGAGTTTAAGCCACTGGGTCCGGGATTTGAACCGCGGTCGACTACATGGGAGTCCAGCGACATAGCCATTACGCCAACTGCTGGAAGTCCGAGTGGCAGAGGGTGCCCTTGGTCCCCACAAGGCAGTGCGGGCGTTCAGGCAGAGGCAGGCTCCCATCTTTGGAGGACGTTGGCCCTGTGCTCTGACCCTCTTCTCTTCCCACCAGGAGATGTCATGGGGCCCACCCTGAATCACCTCAACAACCTCCTGCGACTGCCCTTTGGCTGTGGAGAACAAAACATGATCCACTTTGCTCCCAATGTCTTTGTCTTGAAGTATCTTCAGAAAACCCGGCAGCTCAGCCCAGAGGTAGAGAGAGAGACCGCTGACTTCCTGGTCCAAGGTACGGGGGAGCTGACCGGGTGGGCGATACAGGAGAGAGACAGCCTCCGCCGTCAGTGGGGGGACCACGCTGGAGGTGGCCCACACACCAGGTGCGGGGACGAGAAGGTAGTGGACAAAATAGACCATTCCTAGTCATGATGCAACGCTCTACAAGGCTGCATTCACATGGTGAGGTCCTGCGTTTGCATCCAGGGGCCTCCCTGTACACTCCCGGGATTAACACTAGTTAATCTCTGATCCGGCCTGACTGAGGCTTGGGGTGGATCGTGGTGTAAGGGCCCTGTTGAGAATACCCCTCACTCTCTCATAGAAAAAGTAAACAACTACACTTTTATTTTTGAGACAGAGATTTTTGCTTTTTAAAATTTTTTTGGAGAGATTTTTGCTATAGGGCTCATGTGCTTGCCAGAGAGACAGACAGAGACAGGGAGACAGAAAGCAAGACATCACTCCCCCCGCAGGGAGATGATCATGCTGCAATCCCTTCTCTTCCATTCTCCTTCAGGATTTTGGGCATGCACACACACATGCGCCCGGTGTGAGTGTTAAGCTATTGGATCTGGGACTTGAACCCCAGTCGCCGATGTGGAAGTCCAATGATGTAAGCCTTGTACCATCTGCTGGTCCCACAAGTAAACTTTTCTTTTTTTTTTTCTTTTTTTTAAAAACACAGTAATATTTAAAATTATTTATTTAATATTATTTATTCATTCATTTATTGTAATTTGACCAGAGAGAGACAGAGAGAGAGAGAGTGAGAGAGAGAGAGAGAGAGAGAGAGAGAAAGTGAGAAAGCAAGCCTCCAGGTCCGGGACTTGAACCATGGTTGGCTATGTGGGAGAGTCCAGCACTTTAACCACCATGCCACCTGCTGGTCCCACAAGTAAACTTTTCTAAAAAATATCTGAATTTCAGTGGGGTACATACCAGAAGTAGAATCACTGGGTCCCCAGGTTTTTGTGGAGTTGATATCCTTTCAAAGGTTATTTTATTTATCCAACACATCAATTTATGGAGCACCATGTGCTGAAATTTCCCGCCCTGAACCTCTCAGGGGTATTTCCAGCTGTTTTATTTTTTATTTAAAATTTTTAAAAATTATTTATATATTTTTTAATTTGACCAGAGAGGAACAAAGTGAATGAGAGAAAGGGAGTGAGAAAGCAAGCCACCAGGTCTGAGACTTGAACCATGGTTGGCCATGTGGGAGTCCAGTGCCTTTAACCACCACGCCACTTGCCAGCCCTTCCAGATTTTTTTTTTTCCTTAAATAACACAGCACTGAACGCATTGAGTGATAATTGATGTAGCATTGCACAACTTCAGAGGTGACTGATGTTCAGAGATCATCAACACAGTGCTGGACATCTTTAGGAATAAATTACACAGCACTGAACATCTCCAGAGATAAACGACACAGTAGATCTCTTCAGAGATAAACATGATGCGGGACATCTACAGAGATAACTGGTGTTCAGACATAATCGACACAGTGCTGGACATCTTTGGGAATAAATAACACAGCACTGAACATCTCCAGAGCTAAACGACACAGTGGATCTCTTCAGAGATAAACATGGTGCGGGACATCTACAGAGAAACTGGTGTTCAGAGATAATCGACACAGTGCTGGACATCTTCGGGAATAAATAACACAACACTGAACATCCCCAGAGATAAACGACATGGCGCTAGAAATCTCCAGATACAGTTGATGTTCAGAGATAATTGACGTAGTACTGGATATCTCCATAGGTAATTGATGTCAGAGATGATTGACACAGTGCTGAACATCTTCGGAGATGAATGATGTGACACTGAGTATCTCAGAGATAAATGACGTGACACTGAACACCTCAGATAAATGGACATGGCACTGGACATCTTGATATAAATGATGTGGCACTGAACATCCTCAGAGATAAACGACACAGTGGATATCTTCAGAGATAAACAACATGGTGCTGCACATCTACAGAGATAACTGGTGTTCAGAGATAATTGACACAGTGCTGGACATCTTCGGGAATAAATAACATAGCACTGTATATCCCCAGAGATAAACAACGTGGCACTAGAAATCTCCAGATACAGTTGATGTTCAGAGATAATTGACACAGTGCTGGACATCTTCGGGAATAAATAACATAGCACTGTATATCCCCAGAGATAAACAACGTGGCACTAGAAATCTCCAGATATAGTTGATGTTCAGAGATAACTGACACAGTGCTGGACATCTTTGGGAATAAATAACATAGCATTGTATATCCCCAGAGATAAACAACGTGGCACTAGAAATCTCCAGATATAGTTGATGTTCAGAGATAATTGACACAGTGCTGGACATCTTCGGGAATAAATAACATAGCACTGTATATCCCCAGAGATAAACAACGTGGCACTAGAAATCTCCAGATATAGTTGATGTTCAGAGATAACTGACACAGTGCTGGACATCTTTGGGAATAAATAACATAGCATTGTATATCCCCAGAGATAAACAACGTGGCACTAGAAATCTCCAGATATAGTTGATGTTCAGTGATAATTGACACAGTGCTGGACATCTTCGGGAATAAATAACATAGCACTGTATATCCCCAGAGATAAACAACATGGCACTAGAAATCTCCAGATACAGTTGATGTTCAGAGATAATTGATATGATGCTGGACATCTTCGGGAATAAATAACATAACACTGTATATCCCCAGAGATAAACAACGTGGCACTAGATATCTCCAGATATAGTTGATGTTCAGAGATAATTGACATAGTGCTGGACATCTTCGGGAATAAATAACATAGCACTGTATATCCCCAGAGATAAACAACGTGGCACTAGAAATCTCCAGATATAGTTGATGTTCAGAGATAATTGATATGATGCTGGACATCTTTGGGAATAAATAACATAACACTGTATATCCCCAGAGATAAACAACGTGGCACTAGATATCTCCAGATATAGTTGATGTTCAGAGATAATTGACATAGTGCTGGACATCTTCGGGAATAAATAACATAGCACTGTATATCCCCAGAGATAAACAACGTGGCACTAGAAATCTCCAGATATAGTTGATGTTCAGAGATAATTGACACAGTGCTAGACATCTTCAGAGTTGAATAGCATGGGACTGAACATTTCAGAGATAAATGACATGGTTCAGAGATAATGAACACATCACTGGGCATCTTAAGATGAATGACACAGCACTGGACATCTCTAGAGATAAATGACACTGTGCTGGACATCTTCAGAGATAAATGGCATGGCACCAAACATCCCCAGAGATAAGTAACATGGCACCGGACATGTCCACAGATCACTGATGTTCAGAGATCCTTGACACTGTACTGGACATCTCTGGAGATAAATGACATGGCACTGAACATCTCAGAGATAATGAATGTGACACTGGACATCTTGAGATAAATAACATGGGGGGCTGGCAAGTGGCACGGTAGTTGAGGGTGCTGGAGTCCCACATAGCTGACCTGGTGGTTCGAGTCCTGGACCTGGCAGCTTGCTTTCTCACTTCCCCTGTCTCTCTCTCTCTCTCTCTCACTCCTTTACTAATCCAATGTAAAGAAATAAAGTTAAACAGTACACTCTTTTTTATTTTTAAGAGAGTTTCTTTTTTGTTTTTGTTTTTGTTTTTTTGCTATAGAGTGTGTGCGCTCACCAGAAAGACAGAGACAGAGACAGTTAAGTGAGAAATCACCCCCCAGGGGGATGGCCATGCCACAATCCCTTCTCCTCCATTCTCCTCTCAGGATCTTGGGCACACACGCACACGTGCCCGGCGTGACTTTAAGCCACCGGGTCCAGGACTTGACTGTGGTCGACTACATGGGAGTCCAGGGACATAGCCATTACGCTAACTGCTGGTCCCCATTTATTTATTTTTATTTGACTGGAGGACAGAATGAGAGAGAAAGAAAGTGAGAAAGGAAGCCGCCAGGTCCAGGACCCAAACCACAGTTGGCCATGTGGGAGTCCAGCATCCTTAACCACCATGCCACCTGCCAGTCCTGTTTGGATAGTTTTAAGGCCCCCACATATGTATGGTGTGGGGCAGTTTCCAGGTCCCCAGAGGTGTTGTGGAGCGTGGCATCATTTGGAGGTACGTCATAGTACCCGGACCCGGGTCACTGGGGACATGGTGGCCTTTGCTCACCCCGCAGGCTACCAGCGACAGCTGACCTACCGGCACCAGGACGGCTCCTACAGCGCCTTCGGGGAGCGGGACGCTTCGGGGAGCATGTGGTGAGTCCCCACGCGGCGGATGCAGCCCGAGACGCCCCACTCAATGCCCCGGTCTCCAGGGCAGCACATTGGGACGCTTGGGGTCTAGTCCCGAGGGTGATGGGGACCCGGGGTGGCATCGGAGATTGTGGCAATCCCTGCCTCAGGGTCCAGAATTTTTTTTTAAAGTTTTTTAACTTTATTTATTTTAATTTGACCAGAGAGGGACAGAGTGAATGAGAGAGAGAGAGAGAAAGAGAGAAAGAAAGCCGCCAGGTCCAGGACTCGAACTGATGTCAGCCATGTGGGAGTCCAGGGCCCCTAGCCACCACGCCACCTGCCGGCCCGGTCCCGAGATTCAAATGCCCCGACCTCTGATCCCTCCCGAGCGAGTTGTGGGGAGCCCACTGGACCTAAGAATGGGGGTGACCCGGAGCAGGAAGAGATGGGGTGGGGAGTCAGGCCAGATCATTGCCTAGGGGAAGCAATTCCCTGCAAGCAGCGCCCCCTGGCTGTTGGAGGACCACAGGTCAGGGAGGGACCATACCCAAGGGGGAGGTTTTGTCCCCTGGAATCCACAATTTCATTCTTCCTTTTTTTCTTTTTTTTTTGAATTATTGTATTCAATTTTATTCATTGGCATTATTCTGTTTATTGATTTATTTCAAGTTGACCAAAGAGAGAGAGAAAGGAAGTGAGAAATCAAGTTGCCAGGTCCGGGAATCAAACTGTGGTCAGACATGTGGGAGTATCCAAGTGCCTTAACCACCATGCCACTTGCTGCCGCCCCACCCCACCCCCCCGCAGTTTCTTATTTATTTATTTATTTTTTTAATACTCTTTCTTCAGAGTTGTTTGTTTGTTTGTTTGAAGGATTATTTTATTTAACTTTTTTTCTTTCTTCCTTTAAATTTGACCAGAGAGGGGCAGAGTGAGAGAGGGAAAGTGAGAAAGCAAGCTGCCAGGTGCGGGACTTGAACCATGGTCAGACGTATGGGAATCCAGCGCCCTTAACCACCACGCCACCTGCCAGCCACGAAATCCGCAGTTTCATAGCAGTTCTTGGCATCCCTGTGAGGCTTACTCCTGGGTTACCCTTATACCTCCCACGATTGTCTCCCAACTTGTTGAAGAAGGCCACCTTGGCAGTGCTGACACCAGCAGCCTAGAAGTGCCTGTGTCCCGGTGGCATAGTGGTTAAGGTGCTGGACTCTCACTCAGCTGACTGCTGTTCAAGCCCCCGACCCACCTCTTGAAACACGCCGGGCACGTGTGCGTGTGTGCCCAAGGTTCCCAGAGGAGAATGGAGGAGGAGGGACTACGGCGTGGTCAGCCCCCCAAATGCTTTCTGTCTCTCTGTCTCTCTGTCTCTCTGACAAGGGCACCTGCTCTATAACAAAAATCTCACTCTCAAAAAAAAAATAAAAAAAAGTCTCTGGGGCCAGCAGGTGGCATGGTGGTTAAGGCGCTGGACACTCCCGCATGGCCGACTGCGGTTCAAATGCCGGACCTGGTGGCTTGCTTTCTCACCTTCCCTCTCTCGCTCTCTGTATCTCTCTCTGATCAAATTAAAATAAATGAATAAATAAATAAAATTAAAATAAATAATTATTTTTTAAAAAGTCTCTGTCCTTTAATCTGACAGAGCCTGCACTGCAGGGGATGGGGGAACGGGAGGCCCTGCTGGGCACCCCTACAGTGGGCAGTGTCACTCCTTCGGCTCCAGAGGGGCCCAGGTTTGGAGTCTCGCCCAGCCCCTCCAGCCCAGCAGCCTGTCTGTTTGCTGTCCCAGTTCTGGTCTCAGAGCCCTGCCTTGCTGACGGCCCCTGATGGTCCACCCCCTGCCAATCAGAGACCCCCAACTGCCCCAGGGGATAGAGATAAAGCCACTGAGTCACTCTCTAAAAGCTGGCCGAGCCTGGGGTAGCCCCTGGGAGGTTCCTGACGGGGGAGGATTAATGAGTTGTAACCATTAGACAGGGCTCCACTGAGCAAGCATGTTTCAGGGACAAACCCTCCAGCAGGAAAAAGCAAATTGCAGGGACCAGCAGTTGGCGTAATAGCTATGTCGCTGGACTCCCATGTAGTCGACTGTCGTTCGAGTCCCGGACCCGGTGACTTGAACTCATGCCGGGCATGTGTGCGTGCGTGCCCAAGATCCCGAGAGGAGAATGGAGGAGAAGGGATTGCGGCATGGCCATCCCCTCTGGGGGGTGATTTCTCACTTTCTGTCTCTCTGTCTCTCTCTGTCGGTCTGGCAAGCGCACGTGCCCTGTAGCAAAAACCTGTCCAAAAAAATAAAAGGGGGGGGGGCGGCTAGCAGATAAGGAACTGGACACTTCCACATGGCTGACCACGGTTCCAGTATCAGGCCTGGCAGGCTTGCTTACTCATTTTTTTTCTTTTAGAATTACTTCATTTAACATTATTTATTTCTTCATTTATTTTTAATTTGCCTGGAGAGAGTGAGAGAGAAGGAAAGTGAGAAAGCAAGCTGCCAGGTCCAGGACTCGAACCATAGTCCGTCACGTGGGGAGTCCAGCACCTTAACCACCACGCCACCTGCCTGCCCCTTGCTTACTCACTTTCTCTCTGTTGCTCTGGCCCTCTCTGGTCAAATTAAAAATAAATAACATAGATAGATAGAGACAGATAGATAGATAGAGAGATAGATAGATGATAGATAGTTCTTTTAAAAAATGCCGGCAGGTGGCATGGCGATTAAGGCGCTGGACACTACCACTTTGGCTGACCATGGTTCGAATCCCAGACCTGGTAGTTTGCTTTCTCACTTCCCCCCTCTCTCTCCCTGTAATAAATTAAATAAATAGTTCTTTTTAAAAAAAAAAAAAATAAGCCAGCAAGTGGGGCCGGCAGGGGACATGGTTGTTAAGGGTTCTGGACTCCCACATGACCGACTGCTGTTCGAGTCCCATACCTGGCAAGCTTGCTTACTCACTTTCTTTCTCTTGCTCTGGCCCTCTCTGGTCAAATTAAAAATAAATAAATAAATAAATGTTTTTTTAAAAGAATGCCAGGGGCCAGCAGGTGGCGTGGTGGTTAAGGTGCTGGAATTCCCACATGGCCGACCACAGTTCAAGTCCCAGACCTGGCAGCTTGCTTTCTCACGTTCTCTCTCTCTCTCGGTCTTTCTCTGGCAAAACTCATGTGAAAAGATAGTAAGAAATAAATGAAAAGAAAAATGTCAGCAGGTGGCCTGGTGGTTAAGGTGTTGGACTCTGACATGGTCAAGCACGGTTCGAGTCCCGGACCCGATGGCTTGCTTTCTCATCGCCCTCTCTCTCTGGTGTGTGCATGCGTGGGTATGTGCATGACCCTATTCTGTCCCCCCAACCCCGGCCTCGCCCTCTCCCAGGCTCACGGCCTTTGTCCTGAAGTCCTTCGCCCAGGCTCGCAGTTTCATCTTCGTCGACCCACAGGAGCTGGCGGCTGCCAAGGGCTGGATTATCCGGCAACAGCGGGCGGACGGCTCCTTCCCAGCCGTGGGCAGGGTCCTCAACAAGGACATCCAGGTGAGTGGCCTCTCGGGCTCCCTCCAGGGGGCCTCCGCTCTCTAATGCAATCGGGAGGGCTCTCAGGGGGAGGCGGGCTGTCCCTTTTGGCTTGGGGTGAGATGCAGGGGTCCCTTGCAGGGTGGGATCCACGGGACCATCCCACTGACGGCCTACGTGGTAGCTGCTCTCCTGGAGACCGGCTCTGCCTCGGAGGTGAGTGTGGGGGCGCTCAGGGACGCCGGGGCTGGAGTGGGATTAGGGTCGGTTCTTCCTCACTGCTCTTACAGCAAACTCAACGAGAGTTTATAGCGCATGCGCTCACCGGAGAGAGACAGAGAGACAGAAAGCGAGAAATCACCCCCAAGGGGGGATGGCCACGCCGCAATCCCTTCTCCTCCATTCTCCTCTCGGGATCTTGGGCACGCACGCACACGCACCTGGCGTGAGTTTAAGCTACTGGGTCCGGGACTCGAACCATGGTCAACTACATGGGAGTCCAGCGACATAGCCATTACGCTAACTGCTGGTCCCAGTCCAATCATTCTTAAAAAAAAACAAAAGAAAGAAGGGGCCGGCAGGTGGCATGGTGGTTAAAGGCGCTGTATTCCCACTTGTCTGACTGCTGTTCGAGTCTCGGACCTGGCGGCTAGCTTTCTCACCTTTCCTTTCTCTCTCTCTGGTCAAATTAAATAATAACAAATGGAACTGAATAAGTAAATAATTATTGAAAAGGAGAGAGAAAGCAATAGGAGGCAGTGGTGAACCACAGAAGAACGCAAAGGGAGCGGTTCCAAGCCACCTGGGCTGTCCCTAGGGGTGACCCCTGAGCGGTAGTTGGTGGAAGGTAGGTAGGAGGGGCCGAGGACTCAGAGCAGCCCTCCCGGGGCTCTCCTTCCTTGCCTATCCCGAAGGAGGAGCGGAGCGCCATTGCCAGAGCGAGGCGGTTCCTGGAGTCCGGCGCGCCCCTAGCGGTGGACCCCTACAGCTGCGCCCTGACCGCGTACGCGCTGACCCTGCTCCGCAGCCCCGCGGCCCCCGCCGCCCTGCGCAAGCTCCGCAGCCTGGCGATCGCCCAGGGTAGGTGCCCCCTGCCCGCCTGGCCCAGAGCCCAAGGTACCAGGGGACCCCTAGAAACAGCTTGGGAGCCAAGATGCATGGAACCAGGTCGGTGCACGGGGCTTTCTAATCAATTCTTTATTAAATTACTCATTTCTTAACTGTCTCTGCTAGTGGCTTCATTTTCTTTCTTTCTTTTTTTTTTTTTACATTTTTTTAGAATTTTTGCTATAAGGCACGTGTGCTCGCTGGAGAGACAGAGATAGAGAGACAGAAAGCCAGAAATCACCCCCCCCAGGGGGGGATTGGCCACGCTGCAATCCCGTCTCCTCCATTCTCCTCTTGGGATCTTGGGCACGCACGCACATGTGCCCGGAGTGAGTCTTAAGCTGTAGGATCTGGGACTTGAACCGTGGTGGACTATGTGGGAGTCCAGCAACATAGCCATTACACCATCTGCTGGTCTCCAACATATCTTTTTTTTTTTTTAATTTGTTTATTTATTTCATTCCATTTGTTGTTATTGTTTTTTTAATTTGATGAGAGAGACAGAGAGGGAAAGTGAGAAAGCAAGCTGCCAGGTCCAGGACTCGAACCGTGGTCAGCCATGTGGGAGTCCAGTGCCCTCAACCACCATGCTGCCTACCAGTCCCCTCCATCTCTCTCTCATTTTTTTTTTTTTCAACCAACCACTCACTGGGCTACAACTTCTCAGAATACCCCTAAACTGATTGTCCCCACCCCCTGCCCCAGCAGCTACCCTGGGACCCAGGTCCCATCCAGCTTCTCTGCTTAAGACATGACGTGGAGAATTGCTTCTACTGTTGATGGAAAAGAAAACAGTTTAAAAGCAAGGTTCTAAACCCATCCCACTAGATAATGGTGTCTTTTCAATATTAAATCCTTAAAATGGGACATGGGTATAGAAGGGGGAGGGGGAGGGCTGGCTTGACGCCTCCTGAGCTCAGAATCCTTGGAGCCCCTACAGGTGGGGAATGGTTGGGTGGGTGCTGAGTGGGAAGAGCCAGGACCAGCCAGAAGGGACATCATCGATTAGTGATGTCTTCCAGAGATGGAGAGACACCATCAATTAGTGATGTCTGCCCGGGTGGGAGGATAGTGTTCATTGATTAGTGATATCTTCCAGGGATGGAGGGACAACATTGATTAGTGATATCTACCTGGGTGGTGAGAGGGTGGTTATTGATTAGTAATGTCTGCCTGGGTGGGAGGATGGTTGTCATGGATTTCTGAGACACCATTGATTAGTCATGCCTGTCCAGCTGGGAGGAGGGTGGTTATTGACTAGTGATGTCTGTTAGATAAGGAGGAACACCATTGATTGGTCATGTCTGCCAGGGACAGGGCATGGGAAGGGCTGAGATGGTTGTGTGTTTGCAAATCTGAGATGGATCTCTTAAGGCCATTCCTATCCTAGCTGTCTCCCCCAAACTCCTCCTAATCTTGCTTCCAGAGCCCACCCGCATGGACGCCCACCATGGGATGCTAGGGGTTGTGATCTCTGACCAGTTCTGACTTTGCAGATGGCGTCACCCACTGGAGCTTGACAGGTTCCCGGAACATGGGCAAGGACGCATTCCTGAGTTTTGGCGAAGGGGTCTCCCAGTCAGGTACTGGCTACCCCAGCCTCCTCCTCTCCCTAGCTGCCTCCACGGCCCTGGGTCCTGGGCCTTCTGTTGAAAGAGCCCCAGGTGGCCTGTCATTGCAGTGGCCTCCGCTGAAGTGGAAATGACAGCCTACGCCCTGCTCACCTACAGTCTCCTGGGCGATGTGGCCGCCGCCCTGCCCGTGGTGAAGTGGCTGTCTCAGCAGAGGAACGCACTGGGGGGCTTCTCCTCAACTCAGGTGAGCAGGGCGGAGCTAGAGGGAAGGGGCTGGGGGTCTGCCCGGGGTCACCCTAGTTCAGAACCAGCTATGGTCCTTGGAGACTTGGAGCCTTGGGACGTTGGTGGAGGGGTGAGGAACAGGTGCACCAGGACCCCCTGGGGGGAACCCAGCCCCGCTGTCCTGGGAGGGGGGACAGGACATTCTGTATCTCATCGATCCCTCTGCTTCATGGGTGCACCATTTCCGGCCAGGCTACCCTGGACAGGGGCAGGGGGAGAGCCGGCCACTGGCTCTCGGGGCTGACGGCAGCCCTCCCGCTGTGTTCCCAGGACACGTGCGTGGCCCTGCAGGCTCTGGCCGAGTACGCCATCCTGTCCTACGCTGGTGGCATCAACCTCACTGTCTCTGTGGCATCCACCAACCTAGACTACCAAGAGACCTTTGAGCTGCACAGGGCCAACCGGAAGGTTCTGCAGACAGCCGCGGTGCGTGTTCTGGAGCTGGGGAATGGGGCCGGGGGGTGCCGATGATTGGGGAGTCTCCGTCTCCGAGAGCCTCACGGTGTCTCCTCTGCCCAGATCCCCAGCCTCCCCACGGGGCTGTTCGTGAGTGCCAAGGGGGACGGCTGCTGCCTGCTGCAGGTGAGTTTTAGGGGAGACTGGGGTGCTCTGGGGCTTGCTCACCCTCTCCCCTCGCTAACAGGGGGATCTGGAATCTTGGGGACACCTGGGAGCTCCCAGTTCAGCATCAAGCTCCTATTGGATGGATGTGCAATGGGAAAGACCCCAGGGCAGGCTGGAGGCTCCCCCAATACTGTAGCCCACCTGCTCTGCTCAAGCGGGTGACTCTAGGTCCCCTGCTGTGTAGCTCTCAGAGGATGCTCCCAGAAAGCTCCCTTTGACTCTTTAGTTTAGGGTTCTCCGAACATAAGCAGACACCATCTCTTCACCCACTGAGAGGGGTTCCCCAGTGGTCCGAAGTTATTCCTTCCACTGCGATTTGAACAGGGAAGCCTGGCCTAGACTCCATCCACCTCTCACCCCGCAACCCCTCAGCCACCCCATTCTGGGATTCAGCCCCAAACAGTGCTGGGGAAGACAGGGGCCATGGTTCTGGCTGGCCGTCCCTAATGACCCTAGCCTCCACTATCCCACCCCTAAAACGGGAGCCCACACAACAGGCTGGGTGAGGGGGAGAAGTCTGGATTCAGATAGACGTGGCTGATGGTTTAATCTACAACCACTGGGCCAGCAGGTGGCATGGTGGTTAAGGCGCTGGACACTCCCACATGGCCGCCCACAGTTCAAATCCTGGACTTGGTGGCTTGCTTTCTAATTTTCCTTCTCTCTGTGTGTCTGTCTCTCTCTGGTCAAATTAAAATAACTGAATGAATAAATAAAATGAAATTGAAAAATTAATCTACAACCCCTGGGCCCGGCAGGTGGCATGGTTTAATCTAAAAGTCACCAGGTCTGGGACTCAAACCATGGTGGACCATGTGGGAGTGTCTAGCGTCTTAAGCACCATGTCTTCTGCTGGTCTCCCAAATAAAATAATTCTTTTATTTAACTTTATTTATTTATTTTAATTTGACAGAATGAGAGAGAGAGAGGGAAAGTGAGAAAGCAAGCCACCAGGTCTTAAACTCTCAAACTACTGTTGGCCATGTGAGAGTCCAGCGCCCTTAACCACCACGCCACCTGCTGATCTCCAGATAAAATAATTCTTAAGAGACCAGCAGTTGGCGTAATGGCTATGTCCCTGGACTCTTGTGTAGTTGACCACGGTTCGAGTCCTGGACCCGGTGGCTTCAGCTCACGCCGGGTGCGTGTGCGTGCGTGCCCAAGATCCCGAGAGGAGAATGGAGGAGAAGGGATTGCAGCGTGGCCATCCCTCCTGGGGGGTGATTTCTCGCTTTCTGTCTCTCTGTCTCTGTCTTTCTGGCGAGCGCACGTGCCCTATAGCGAAAACCTCTAAAAAAAAAAAAAAATTCTTAAAAAAAAAAAATTGTACAACCACTTAACCTGTTCCAAAGGGAAGTGGAAACACCTCCACCTTTCCTCCACCTCGTCCCCTCCTCCTCGTCCCACGCTCATCGGGTGGGGCTGGGGGCCCCTAAGCCTCCGTCCTCCAACACCCCCCCCCAGATTGACGTCACCTACAATGTGCCTGACCCAGTGGTCAAGCCAGCCTTCCAGCTGTTTGTGAGCCTCCAGGAGCCTGAGGCCCAGGGCCGCCCGCCCCCTGCACCCGCCTCCTCAGCTGACGGCCCCCGTGGGGACCGGCACCCAGCCGATGACGACGACCCAGAGGCCGACCAGCACCATCAGGAATACAAGGTGACCCTGGAGGTGTGCACCAGGTAAGGCCGCCTTACCCTCTAGCTGGCTCCCTGGCCTGGGCCACCCAGGAAGGTGATATAGAGTGGTAGCTGCTTGGGGCTTTGAGAAGCTTCGGGCTGAGTCTCCAAACGGGCAGATACTCAGTGATGGCTTGTTGTTGTTTTTGTTTTTAATTCATTCATGGATTTTAATTTGACCAGAGAGACACAGAGACAGAGAGAGGGAAAGTAAGAAAGCAAGCCACCAGGTCTGGGACTCAAACTGTGGTTGGCCACGTGGGAGTGTCCAGTGCCTTAACCACCATGCCGCCTGCTGGGCCGTACGTGATGGCTTCTTCTTTTTTTTTTTTTTTAGAGGTTTTTGCTATAGGGCGTGTGCGCTCGCCAGAAAGACAGAGACAGAGAGACAGAAAGTGAGAAATCACCCCCCAGGGGGGATGGCCACGCTGCAGTCCCTTCTCCTCCA